CTCGGCAGTATTTCCAAACCAATACGACTTAGGGTCCTTCAAGAAGCGAGCCTATCATTTCCTCAAAAGCCGGCAACGCATCTGTAGTTCATCTAGTGTTGCGGATGTCCATGGGCAACGTTGACCACCTTTGTGTTCACACCGCTCGTTTGCCCCCTTTTTTATAAAAAAAATTAATAAAAATATTTAAAACAAAATGTTACATGGAAGACATTTTCATGTTTCATTAAATTTTTAATGTATTAAAATGAACGTTATGAAATCCTTTATTTTTTACAACAGTAGTCTGTAGAATCTTTATTGCGAATTATCGCGTATCGATTTTCAGACTAGCTCGATGAAATAGGAGATCAAAAAACACAAACGGTAAGCGGTAAAAGGGAAACGATGGTTTAAAATCAGGTGAACGAACTAAATGTATAAAAATCAAAAAAAGCGTTCTGAATTAGATAACTAAATCCGATAAAAAGGATTAACGATACGAACGTACGTTACTACTTAATCTCCCAGCATTATGAATAGCAAACCAATCATCAATATTTCAGAGAGTTCTTGGTATCTGACGATATCATTGCTTACTCTATTATCTCTACAGGAACTTGAATAGGCCACCAATCTCAGGTGGGTTTGCAAAACATATGATTGTAAAATACCACGATAATATTATTCGCAAAGAGGTTGCCTCTGAACATAACGAAACTTAGTGACATAGCTCTGGTAGTGCATTTGACAAGCGCCTGATTGGACTGGACCATGATCTACATATCAGGTTTCGATCCCCTCCAAGTACAAATATAATTTTAAATTTCGAATTTCATATGTACATTAGAGATGTTACGATAAAAGAAACTAGGTGATGCAATCAGAAAAAATAAGTAAATAAATTCAGAAGATATTAAGTCAACCAATCCGCTGTGGCCCAGAGTTGTTGACTATGGCCTATAATTCTTTTTGACAAAACAGAGACTACCGTATGTTTTTAATGCAAGTGTAACAAGTGTTGAAACCCACTTAATGTGATGATTTATCGTCTATTCAAAGTAATATTATAAAGAGAAAAATGTATATTTTTGCATGCAATGAATAAACTACAAACTGCTAGACCGATTTTAAAAATTCCTTCACATTTAAAAAGCTACATTATCACCAATTAAGCTAGATTTACTGTGATTTTTCTTTAATCCCGCGCGGAAGAAGTCGTGATCGAAGACTAGTCTAATAATTAAATTTTCTCCAACTCCTTCCGAAAGAATATTATATCGTATTATTTTTAACAAATTAATCCTTTAATGGCTTTTACATCTATTATGTCTCTACTAATACTTGTACGACAAATTGCTATCAGTTAGTGAGGATTTTGTTTTATCGATATCCGATTCAAATCACGCGTTTTACACTCAGTAAAGGGTTAAAATATTATATCAGTGTACTGATTAATTAAGCATTCGAAATTATATATATTTCTATACTAGCTGTTCCCATGCGACGTCATCCGCGTGAAATTAATAAAACTTTATTTTTTGTTTACATTTGTATTATTCTCAATTGCAAATGTCAAAATTACCGTTACTATAATAACCTTGCTTCCTTATATTGGCAGCTTGTAGTTGATGGTCCCTTTTCCACATGAAGGTTTTTATTGACCCCTAAGTTTAATAGCGTGAAAATATATAGCGTGTCGTAAGTATAGGGCTTTTTATTAAAGAAAGTATGACTCAAAAATATACTGTGATTGCTGACATCCTACGCCACGCAGTAGTGTGTGGTTACGCTTTATTGTATTAGTATAGATTAAAATCATTTAAACTTTCGTCAAATAATATTAAAAACGGGTAAACTCGCGTTTAGATAGTCGCGTATCAAACATTTCGGGGAGAGTGAATGGCGCTTCCCTACTGCACCTTGCCCCGAAATCATTCACGTTGACGAAAGATGGCCGACGGTTCTAAAACAGGTCGGTACCGATATTGGCCTATGTAAACGTGTAATTAACTGTTCATAATTAAATTTAAATTTCAAATTAAATAGAAAAAAATAGTTTTATACCTAGGGTAGCTATTGCCCGCGACTCCGTCTGCGCGAATGAACATTTCAAAATAAACGTTATTTTCATGATAGGAATATCAACCATTTTATCTAAAAGTTCGCTTCCACGGTACGTAATTCTGCAAGCGAATGCGGAAATACGAAGCCGACAAACTAGTCGCACTGTTAAAGCAATAATTGTCATCAGGGAACAAACAGAAGCCATGAAAGGGGCTCGACATAAACGTCATTTGCAAGCATAAAAACACGCTTTGCATACGTTACACATTATCGATTTGCCGATTAAAGTATTTATAGGTACATCAAGATACTTCACTGGCGGTTTATCCTCATAGTCGTTGTTTGCAAAATTATGTTTTCGAAAAAATAGAATAGATAATTTGCAAGATAATATTAAGTAACGTACAAGATAAGTAAGGATTTAGATGATAATAATTCCAATAAATTGACTAGATGTCCTAGAGTTGTCAGCATTGTGTGTGACAGTCATGAAGCTCCTAGTTCTTCTTCTTCCTTTAGTGGCACGTGAGTATCAAATATATGACTTATTACTTATAATTACAACGGTGGTAGAGTCCGCAACAAACCTTATATCGGCGAAGTAATTCAAAATTACATATAATGTGACGTCAACCATCCCGCACTTGGCCAGCGTGATTGGCGATGTCCTAATCAACCCTCACTTAGGGTAGGTTCCGAGGCCCTCAGTGAGGACGTACAGTGAGCTGATGATGATGATGATGAGAGTTGGCAGCAGCATTAGCTCCTACACAAAACGACCGATGTAATACCATGATCGAACAGAAGACAGGAATGAAATCTTTCGCCTGATGAGCTTGTATCCGTAGGCCAATGTTAGTCATAGTCCGTTTCCCATATTTTTATTAGATGGTAGCCACGGATTTGTCCGATAGTGTTCCCATAGTTTCAACATCATGCGTGAGAGGGCTTTTAGAGAGGGTACATGAGCTTTTAGTAGATGCAAGTGCGACACAAGCTATTCTTGACTTTGACTTGACTTGATTTGACGGTGGTGGAGACTCATAGGAAGGGGAAATGTCCTCTTTATGGGCGTCTCCTCTTCCGTCAATTATGGGTAGGCAACGCATCTGCAATCGCGGATGTTTATGGGCAGCGGTCGCTTTCCATTTTAGTGGATTCAGGTGGCTGCTTGCTCGTTTTTTACCTTATTTTATTAAAAAAAAAAAGATTTTGTATCACCCTTATTGAGTCATTGCCAGTAATATTCCACTAAATCTTCACGACACCAAAGTTGTCAGTTTCACATTATTAGCACGAGCACATCTGAAACTAAACTATCGCACAACGTTGATTCCTATTCTTATCAGCTTATATGGAGGTGTGCAAACTACTCCATTTTTTTGTTGTGCAACTAATTGTGAATTGGCTGCGAAACAGTCGACAATCGCACAACAGTTTTACAATAACCAAAGGTGTGCGCTCGCTCGCGAAATGAAGTCAAAGAATGAAGAACTTAAGTAAAATGTAACAGCTTATAATACTTTCAGTGTGCAGTGGTGCACCAAAACCCTTAATCCCGGGTGACAATAGTCACTACGTGGAGGGTGTCAGCCGCTATATATGGATGCCCGATGGTGAAGGTGTACCACACCTGGTGGACTTAGAGGAACCAGTTGACGAAGAATTATCGAACTCTAGGAATGGCGCTAACAACCGATACTGGCTCTACACTAGGTAATTTATGAGAAATAAATCGTAGACCTTTACTATTAATTTGCACTGTTACTTGTTAACTTTACTTCCAATGATAATCTTCCTGAGCTTACACCATTCAAGTATGATAATCCAAAACAACAAAATAAAAATTGGACATAAGTATGCTTAAAGTAATAAGATTTAGTATAATATTTATCACATTTAGTAATGAACCGTGACATTCTCTAAATTAAAAATGTGAATTAATAAAAACGATGACAACACATGTAGGAATAAAAAAGATTTGATAAAACGAAATATTGTAATGTTCATTTGGTTTCAGACGCAATCCCACGAATTCCCAAATTATTACGAACGGTAATGCAAACTCCGTGCGTAACTCCAACTACAACGGTAACCGACCCTTAAAA